ATATGTTATTTATTATTATTTATTATAAATTTATATATTATATATATATATTTTTTATTGCCAGTACATAACTTACAGGCAGACATAACCACACAATCACCACACCTTGATCATGGATCACATAACATTTATAGATTACATGGGAATATCTATCTTTCCATTATCTATTCACTTTCTACCCATGTATAGAGTAACAGGAGTCCATCTCCTTATAAACAAAGGCTGTTTCAACTTTAGAATAGCAGTCATATTTGACTTTTTATTTACTTTCTACTCATATATAGACAGTTTCAACTGTAGAGTAACAATCGTATTTTCCATTATTTGGACATGTTTAATTTTGTGTATCCATTCAGATATTATGGGAGACTCAGGCTCCAGTGGATGGTTTTCATTTTCCTCGCATCTAGCATTGGTCTTTGGTAAAATTTTGTTCTGCCATGTTGTCCAATAAGAACAACACAGGGTCCTAGACTAAATTTTTCTTAGTTTTTTAGTAAAGAAGCTTCCAGCTGTGCAGTTATTTATTCTTTCAATGCTTTTTTCCTGTGATTTAGACTGTATTTTTCTCTGTTTTTTAGTTAGGAAGTGGAACGTGGGGCTTGTTATTGATGAGACTAAAGTGTCACGGCGGTGTGTGTGTGTGTGTGTGTGTGAGTGTGTTTGTGTGTGTGTGTGTGTGTGTGTGTGAGATCCCTCCCACACCGATCCCGACACACTCTGATGCACATGCAAACTGACAAACGCACAAGTGTGCAGCTCAGGTACACACACACACACACACACACACCACAGGGAGGAGGCAGCAGATGTGTCAGAAGGCCTAACTTCTTCGTTTCTTTTCTCGCCGTTTCGCGACTCGTAACAACTGTTTTTTTTTTGTTTTTTTGTTATGAATTACCAATTTGTGAAGACTCCGCCTCCAAAGATGGCGAGAAAATTGAGAATTTTTCTCTTTTCTCTTTTCTTTTGACATTTATTTCTTCATGACAAATGTCAAAATGTCATTTTTAGATACAAATTTGGGAGGAATCCATTCAATAATCAGCCAAAAATGCAATCTACTGTTGCTTAAGGAAGGCCATTAAGGGCGTCCATACTTTTAAGTCATGAATAACCAATTTGCGAAGACTCCGCCTCCAAAGAAGGTGAGAAAATTGAGAATTTTTCTCCTAAATAAAAAAAAAAAACGTCAAAATGTCATTTTTAGATACAAATATTCAACCATTTGATCTCATATTTAACTGGAAACAGGGATAATTTGGAAAGAATTCCTTCAATGATCAGCCAAAACACGTAAAAAATTAAGGGATGCCCACTCCTGACAGTCTTTAAAGTGATATATTAGTTTAAATAATGTGTTTAAATGTCAAAACCAGCATTAGTTTGTCACCATCTGACCAGTTAAACAGTAAATTATTTGCCCCTGTTCTCCGAGAAGTCCACATTAGGGTTAAGGTTGGTAAAACCTTTTTTTTATTTGGTTTTTGACTGAACCAGTAAACCAACAGGCAAAAAAAAAGGTAATTTACAGTCAATTCCTTATCAGACTCTGCTAATTGGGTAAGAAGGAAGAAGAGGAAGGGAGAGGATGTGATTCACACAAGGACGAATGCACAACGTTTCCTGTAAAGCTTTTTTTTATTTTTTTTTCCTGCTCTTCCCAGTTGGAAGCAGGTGGACTCATCTCATCTC